ACACGTGTACAAATTTTCCATAATATTAATAAAAATGTAGGTATAGGTTAATATAACAATAATTACGCTTGAAAATAAAAAGTAAATCAAGTGTTATGTATTTATATTATTAATGTTACAAATACCCGACCTACTGCCGTAAATTATTGATATATAATATAGGTCGGGTATGGACATCCTTTCTAACATATTGGTATATATAGAGTATTAAGGTTTAAAGAAAAAGGAAGTATAATACTTACCAAAAAATAAGAATGTCTCCTTATGGATTCACAGTAATTAAAATCTAACTGAACAAAAATGCCACACTTCCACAACGCGGTATCTCCGGATATGCACTGCGTAGGTAGATAGGTACCAGCCAAACATTTTAAAACGCATTTCAATTATTACCAGTTTTTTCAGTCTATTTTGCCACTATTAGTGTAATTTAACTTAATTGTGATACAATGTGCACTAGTAATGTAAAGAAAAAAGAGCTCTTAGTAACATCAAAACAGACAAAGAAATTGGCATGCACTGTAGTTTAGTGTCACTATTTAAGGGGTATTAAACACTCGCATTAAGTTTTTCTACCCTTTTGATTTATTTTAATAATAAATAGTGTGAATAAAGTTAATAAGCACTAAATGCTACCCAGTGTATTTTGTAGTGTAACTTTTACACTTACAAATCAACTGAATCTTCCTTAATGATATTTACAACGGAATATTTTTTTTATAATTTTTATCATAAAATGTTAGAATGCAATGTCGAATTTTTGCATATATATGCAAATAAAATACAGGTAAATATGTAAGATTGTTGTTACATTTTATGTTTTGTTATAACGTTTGTAAAATGAATACTTTGAGTATTTTAACTTTTTTAGTGCTTGTAACAAAAGGTACTGCATTTTTAGGAAATACTGTTTCTAAGAAATCAAAAAAATTACAGCAATACCAATACAAATGCCAGTTATATTGCGTAATAACAAGACCAATATTTTTCGACAAAATTTCAGACAAAAAAAATGACAAAAGTAAAAATAACAAAGACGAAGAGGTTCAAGTAAGAAACTATGTAAAACACTGTAAAGTCATATGTCCTGGCATAAAAAATCCTTATTACCCTGCAAATTCTGGATATCCCTTCAAACCAGTGTTGTCAATATTACAACACAACCCTAGTGATTACAATGATGCCGATGATGAAAATAACCAACCAGAACAAGAAGTTACAGGTGAGAAGGAGCAATTTTAAGAAAAGTAAAGGGCCCAAAACAGATCCCTGTGGTACCCCCACAGTAATCTTTTTCCTACTTAACATTGTATCTGAAGGCTGAAGATCCGAAACGCCCATAATGAAAAAATGTTTGAAATAAAAATTAAATTACACCCTATTATTTATTGCAGACTTATTCGACTAAAAATAGGTAAATTTTGTCTAAAACATTTTTCATATTTGTAATAGATGGCGCTGTAATGAAAAAAAAATCAATTTTGTTCGATTTTTCTTCTGTATACGATTCTGCAATAATTTTTTTATAAAAATATCACTTTTTTTGGTAATAATTATCTTATTAAATTAAATCTGATTTTTTTAAGTACCCACGATTTTTTAACTAATATTTAAGTTTCCTTTGGTTTAAGTTTTATACATTATTTCATTCGGTGATAATTAATTGCGCACCATGGTCACTTTTTACCTGCCAGCATTAAATCCTTTAATTTAAAGGATTATCGTATTACTTTTAATAAAAATACCTCATTTAAGGTAAAAAAAAACACCATTATTTTGTCAGTTAATTAATTTAATGCTAATTGATGTATAAAGAAACTATTTATACATAGTTTAGCATTACTTAATCAATTTAGTTCGAAGATTAATTTGCAAACAAAAAGACCTCCTTTCGTTAAGCAGTTATTCCTAATGGATTTTTTAACAGTGGAAGAAAAAATAGAAATGATTTTGATTTATGGAGAAGCAGGCATGAATCTTGATGATGCTGTTAATATCTACGCTCAGCGTTTTCCGGAAAAATTCGATCACGTACTTCATTTCACCGTACAGTCAAGCAGTTTACTACAAACGGGAGTGTTCAACCGAAAAAAAGAGTTCGTCGAGCGACAGTCGCAGGTGGAAATAATGAAATTAATGTATTAGCAGCAACGGCCGCTAATCCTCATGCAAGCACACGGGAATTATCTAGAGATTTGGGAATATCCCAGAGCAGTGTTAGCAGAATATTAAAACGAAATAAATAAATAAATTTAAAAAATAAAAGTATTTTATTCAAAAATTATTGGAGAATCGTATAAAGAAGAAAGATCGATTTCTTTTTCATTACAAAATTTGCTTTATAATTCAATACTATACAATACATATTTTTTTTTTACTTTTTAGAAAACCCTTCAATAAATAATACTGTTACTAGTATACCAACAACTAGTTCAATAACTAGTACTACATTAAATAATATAAGTACTAGTACTACAAATCAAGGTATAAAAATGTATCTTGGTGACATTTTAGTAAATATATTTTTTTAGGGAATGGTAACCTTTCAACAAATAATACTGTTACTAGTATACCAGCAACTAGTTCAATAGCTAGTACTACATTAAATGCTACAAGTACTAGTACTATAAATCAAGGTATAAAAATGTATCTTGATTACATTTTATTAAATATAATTTTTTAGGGAATGGTACTCAACCAACACGTCTTGAAAAAAAAAATGTGTTAAGAAAGTATTTTGTTTAAAAACTTTTTTTTTATAAATATATGTATATACAGGGTGTTATGTAATTAATGCAATATATTAAAATAAACTGCGCACCAGTCAATGTGTCGCGAACAAAAATTCGTCCTTTTTCAAAACGACATAACTTTTTTGTTTCTTGAACGATTTTATTTTGGTTTGTGATGTCTGCTAGCCCCATTCTCTGGAAATTCATGCTATAGATATGAAGCTCACGGTTCTTCAAGTAAATTTCCTACAGGATGATATGTAAAACGGTGAAAAATGTCAATAACTTCATCCAAGCCCCGTTTGAAAAAAAATATTTTTTTCTCGTTTTTACTTTGAAATAATGAAGTATTATGTCTTACCTTAAAACATTTTTCAAATTTTTCGAATTGGAATCTTAGCAACAAAAATATGATTTTTTTTTCAAAAGAGTACATTTGATGCTTTTTTGTAGGCAAGATAAGATGGTGAAAGATTGTTCCTTGAATAATTCTGAACAAGCGACAAGCAACAAATTTCCATTAATTTCAGAGGAACCTAAGCAAAGACCACTTTTTCAAAATGACATTTTGGAGAAAATTTGCGAAAACTAAACCTGAACCGATATTTACGTTCGTGACATGTTTGCTTTATAATTTTGACCTCCTGATGTGATTCAGTTGTCAAATTTAAGTCTTAGATAAAACCAAAATCACCAAGAAACAAAATTCGAAAACAATTCCCGGCTATTAAATGTCTCAATTACATGCATTTGCCAATGCCATTTGGGGATTCATTTTTTAAGAGAAATTACTGCAATTTGTTTGAGTGGTAAGGATAATGTTACATAAATTACATTTATATTGCGCACTAGTGATAACTTATTACTGATAAGTACCTACCTAATTGGTAATATAGTTAAATACAAAATTTGTTTGTTCATTTTGGAATATTTTATGCGAAGATATAATCATTATAAAAACTACAACATTCAACAGAAAAATGTAACAAACAATAATAATAATAACTTTCAATATTTCGTTGGCCCTCCCCTAACCCGTAATAATTCGTTAACCCTCCTGGGCATTCCCTAGACCAAGTTCCTTAGAAATTCCTGGGGTATGGCTTCCCATTCTTCCTGAATCGAATTTACCAATTCATCCAAATTTTCCATGCGTCATTTCCTCTCTTTCATCTTCAGTTTCATCCTGCTCCACACATGCTCAATAGGATTCTTATCCGAAGACAAAGGTGGCCAATTCATTCTCTCAATATCATGGTCCCTTAAATACTCATTTACGATATTAGCGCGATGCGGACGGGCATTGTCGTCCACCAACACCAAATTATTGGCATTTAATTTTCATCATTTGATCCTTGATTTGATCATTCAGTTACATGATAATAACGTACTAAAGATGCAAAACACAGTAAAAAAACAGTACAATACAGCAATCAGATTTTATTGAGACATTTAACAGCCAGGAATTGTTTTCGAATTTTGATTCTTGGTGATTTTGGTTTTATCTGAAACCTAAATTTGACAACTGAATCACAATCAGGTCAAAATTATGAAGAAAACATGTCACGAACGTAAATATCGGTTCAGGTTTAGTTTTCGCAAATTTTCAACAAAATGTCATTTTGAAAAAGTGGTATTTGCTTAGGTTCCTCTGAAAATAATGGAAGTTTGTTGCTTGTCGCTTGTTCATATTTATAGCATGAATTGCCAGAGAATAGGGCTAGCAGACATCACAAACCAAAATAAAATCGTTCAAGAAACAAAAAAGTTATGTCGTTTTGTAAAAGGAAGAAATTTTTGGTCGCGACGCATTGAGTGGTGCGCAGTTTATTAAATACCTTTTGACAAATTTTCTTGCAAAACATAAATAAAAACCCAATAAATACAAAAGTGTTATGCCCTTAAATCTCTGATACCCTTCTGTATTTATTTACTCATCCAGCTATTAGCTTAAGCAATGATTAGAAAATTTAGTCCCTATTTTAATCAGTGGCGTACTTTTTGGTAGGATAAAGGTTATTATAAATTAATTTTAGTCTTTTTATTTTAATATATTACATTAATTACATAACACCCTGTAGATTAAAAATGAATAGAAATATTTTATGGTTAATTAGATTAATATTGATAATGTATATTTTTTTATCAAAATAAATAAGCGTGGTATATAAATTAAAACAATTAAATTTTATTTCTTTTAACAATAAAACGGTACACATGGGTAATTTAAAGAGTAAATGAAGCCTTAATATTTTTTTGTATAAAACGACTAAAATGGAAAACTGTAGATATTCAATCCATGTTGATTAAACAATTATCATGAAGATATTTGTTGTTCTACTAGCTGTGGTTTTGGGTTCCCAAGCTCGTAAGTCAACTATTTTTTTTTTCAAAATTTAGTGTTTTTAAATTTTTTTTTTAATTATATATTAATCTAATCAAATTGGTTTAAAAAAAAAATATTATTTTAGACCAAGAATATGGTGATGATCACCATGCTCGTGACGGTATTGAACCAGTGTTACAAAGTAAGTTACCCATATAAATTATCCATCTTTCTAGATTGCCGTCATGTTTTTTGTTATTTTTAGGGCACGCCACTAGAAGTTTGCCAACGAATTTAAAAAGTTCACCAATTTTAAACCAAGCTCGTTATATGGGTTACCGAAGTGCACCAGTAGATCAGAGTAAGTAAAACTGAGATGTTAAATGAATTAGTAACTTTTTTTTTTTAGAGCCCGAAGTTGTATCAAAGAGGTCATGGTTTGGAAATAAACATAGGCCTTCTCTCTTCCATCGCAGTGAGTTTTAAATACTTAAATCATGAACGTTTCGTTTTCAAGACTTAATTTTTTTTTTTAGAACCACACCGTAGGTTATTCCACCCCCATCATCGAAGCGTCCTACCAATTGAGACTCGATCCGACAAGAAACAACTAGGTGATTCTGAATCTGTCAAGAAACAACTACGTGATTCTGTTGAAGCATTAAAACAAGCACCTGATGCTGAAGCAGAAATCGTGGTTGATCCACATTCTGCGCGGGCTTTCTTGTTACATCGTTCAAATGGTAAGTTTTCACCAAGGGACTGATGAATTTCTTCCCGCTTGAAAACCTGGCTGTACACTGTCTAAAATATCTGTGGTGTGAAGAGTAATCTTAAAATGGTGTCAAAATCCAACACCAAGTGGTGTTAATATAACACCATGAATTATGGTTGAAAATTTTTTATAAAGCAAACACCAAAACGGTGTTTTTCTAAAAATATTTGAGAAGTGCACCTACACAGAAAAAAAGGAATAGTTCATTAAATTTTAACTATATTAATTTAGTTGACCCATAAGTATTTATTTAAATCAACTGTGGGAAGGTTAATATAAACAAAGATTAGTTTGACGGTACTAAACCAGATAGTTATTTTATTTTTTTTTTAATTGGTTAAATTAACCCAGAAAACTTTAGAGAAACCAACCCTTTGTATGGTTCAGTTTACTAAATATGTTGTTTGAAAAATAACATTAACAAGGTACATGTACGTCTTATGTATGTCTTAATTTTTTTTTTCAGAACTACCCCTAGTTCGTTCCCCATGGTACGCTCGATCCGCCAGTATAGAACCATCCCTCCCTTCAAGTCGACACCCTCCAATTCAATTCGCTGACTCTGCCGACCTTGCTGACCCCATAAAACAAGCACGTGATGCCGAGGCAGACATCGTAGCTCGTACTTTTATGCTACCCCGTTCGAATGGTAAGTAATCTATAAATTAATGTGGGGTAAAACAAATACATATATATTTTCTTATGTACTTTGCTCCACACCTTAAAGTCCCACCACGTGACCACGTACGGAACGCAGTCTTTTAAAAATTTGGCATTTAAGGCTTTTCAGGTTATGTATCTGTCAAAGTATAGTCAACGAAAGAAATAATATTATGTTTAGGCGTTAAAAATGTATAAATCTTTATAACATTACAATAACAATGGATGGTTTAAGAATTTAAGAATATAAATACTGCATTTAATGAAATTCTAAAGTGTATGGTGCCAAATAAGTAATATTTTTGTGCCTTTGGTCCAAATATCTGGTTTTCTCCATAAAATAATTTTAACTAAACAGCATTTATTAAAAAAAATCTAGCTTCTCTATTAAGAATAAGAATATCTGTTTTAAATGTAGGTTAATATATTATAACAAAAATATCATCTAATTTTGTAATTTTAAGGTTAGAAAAATTTATTTTGACCAAAATAAATAAGTATTTTGGATTATTTAAAAGACTGTATAATATATATTGGTATATTGGATATATGGTACTTGGTATATTGGATATATGGTACTTAAAAATGGGGTAGTTCTTCTTATCCAGCTTAAACTGTACCTACATAAAGTTTTGTCAATACAAATAGTTAAAAAGCTTCGACTGAATTTGATCTACATCAAAAAATCATTATAACTTTAAAAATTTTAATAAATCACATGTCATGGGAGTATTAAATATTTTCACATTGCAAGTTTCTCTAAAAATTGTTTGTTTTCTTATAATCTAACTTAAAGTAAGTATGCCGAGAGGTATGCACAAGTTTTGTCGTTAAAAGTATAAAAGCTTCAATTTAATTTGAACCATATTCAACAATTATTTAGTATACCTATATTTATTTATGACCATATTAACACACTCTTCCAAATAATCCACTAATTTATTTTGGTCAAAATAGATTTTTCTAACCTTAAAATACAAAATTATATGATATTTTTTGTTCTAATACATTAACCTACCTTTGATACAGATATTCTTATTTTATTATAGAGAAGTTAGATTTTTTTAATAAATGCTGTTTAGTTAAAACTATTTTATGGAGAAATGTAGACCCAATGCACAAAAAATATCACTTATATTGCACCTTACACTTTGGAATTTCATTACATGCAGTTTTTATATTCCTAAATTCCTAAACCAACCATTGTTATTGTGATACTATAGTCGTTTTTTCGCGTAAATACCATGAAATACTATGGTCATTAAACTTAACCTTGGTTAATAGTTAAGGCATTTTTGCGTTTAGAGTGCGTTCAAAAATCCTAACTATGACGTCACAAATACCAGACCATAAAACTATATCGCTGAGCTAGTTATTCAACGTGGTTAATAGTCTTTCTCTTTTTAATATATATATTTGTGTGTTGTGTGCTAAACATATCTTCTCCAAAACATACCGCCAACCTTCGTCTTTTTCTTTGGGGTTCCATTCTAAATTTTGAGTTTCACAATAATAATTTTCGTATAAACGTTAAACACTGTTGGATTTTAGTTATGGTAAACAACAGGGAAGAACTGTTTATATATAAAAAGAGGTATAGAAAAGGTAGGTATAAGAACTAGGGTTCATAGAAAAAGAATATACAAGGTATAAGAAATTTATTTACACCTGTAAAAGCATAGAAATTAAATATAAATAAGTAAAAACACATTTCAAATATTATAGGTTATGAACAAGTAAACAAATGTCAAATGTTAGAAACCTAACCATGGTTATATGAATTAACTGTGACGTCATGACTTATTTAACCGTAGTATTTCATAGTATTTACGCGAAAAAACGACTTATAAAGATTTATTAACTTTTAACGCTTAAACATAAGCGGTATCACTATAAATATTATTTCTTTCATTGACTATACTTTGACAGATACATAACCTGAAAAGCCTTAAATTCCAAATTTTCAAAAGACTGCGTTACGTACGTGGTCACGTGGTGGGACTTTGAGGTGTGGAGCATAGTACATGTCTTAATTTTTTTTCAGAACTACCCCTTGTTCGTTCCCCATGGTATGCTAGATCCGCCAGTATAGAACCATCCCTCCCTTCAAGTCGACACCCTCCAATTCAATTCGCTGACTCTGCCGACCTTGTTGACCCCATAAAACAAGCACGTGATGCTGAGGTAGACATCGTAGCGCGTACTTTTCGTTCGAATGGTAAGTAATCTACAAATTAATGTGGGGTAAAACAAATGCATATCTATTTTCTTATGTACTATGCTCCACACCTCAAAGTCCCACCACGTGACCACGTACGGAACGCAGTCTTTTGAAAATTTGGCATTTAAGGCTTTTCAGGATATGTATCTGTCAAAGTATAGTCAACGAAAGAAATAATATTATGTTTAGGCGTTTAAAATGTATAAATTTTTATAACATTACAATAACAATGGATGGTTTAGGAATTTAGGAATATAAATACTGCATTTAATGAAATTCTAAAGTGTATGGTGCCAAATAAGTAATATTTTTGTGCATTTGGTCCAAATATGTGGTTTTCTCCATAAAATAATTTTAACTAAACAGCATTTATTTAAAAAAATCTAGCTTCTCTATTATGGAATAAGAATATCTGTTTTAAAGGTAGGTTAATATGTTATAACAAAAATATCATCTAATTTTGTAATTTTAAGGTTAGAAAAATTTATTTTGACCAAAATAAATAAGTATTTTGGATAATTTAAAAGACTGTATAATATGGTATTTAAAAATGTGGTAGTTTTTCTTATCCAGCTTAAAGTGTACCTACATAAAGTTTTGTCAATACAAATAGTTAAAAAGCTTCGACTGAACTTGATCTACATCGAAAAATCATTATAACTTTAAAAATTTTAATAAATCACATGTCATGGGAGTATTAAATATTTTCACATTGCAAGTTTATCTAAAAATTGTTTGTTTTCTTATAATCTAACTTAAAGTAGGTATGCCGAGAGGTATGCACAAGTTTTGTCATTAGAAGTATAAAAGCTTCAATTTAATTTGAACCATATTCAACAATTATTTAGTATACCTATATTTATTTATGACCATATTAACACACTTCCAAATAATCCACATTTATTTCAAAATAGATTTTTCTAACCTTAAAATACAAAATTAGATGATATTTTTTGTTCTAATACATTAACCTACCTTTGATACAGATATTCTTATTTCATAATAGAGAAGTTAGATTTTTTTTAATAAATGCTGTTTAGTTAAAACTATTTTGTGGAGAAATGTAGACCCAATGCACAAACAAATCACTTATATTGCACCTTACACTTTGGAATTTCATTAAATGCAGTTTTTATATTCCTAAATTCCTAAACCAACCATTGTTAGTGTGATACTCTAAAGATTTATTAACTTTTAACGCTTAAACATAAGCGGTAACACTATAAATATTATTTCTTTCATTGACTATACTTTGACAGATACATAACCTGAAAAGCCTTAAATGCCAAATTTTCAAAAGACTGCGTTCCGTACGTGGTCACGTGGTGGGACTTTGAGGTGTGGAGCATAGTACATGTCTTAATTTTTTTTTAGAACTACCCCTTGTTCGTTCTCCATGGTACGCTCGATCCGCTAATATAGAACATTCAAGTCGACACGCTCCAATTCAATTCGCTGACTCTGCCGACTTTGTTGCCCCCATATCTCGTTCGCAAGGTAAGTAATCTACAAATTAATATGGGTGATTCTACAACAAAAGTTGGGCAACTTTTGACCTCATTTTGTTTATATAGTTTTCGGAGAAAATTAAACAGTATTTTGTTTTGAGAACATAGATAATATAATAAATATACTGTTCCAGACCGGGCCCTTCACTTTTTCAAACACTTTTTCTAAATTTGAATGCAAGGGAAGTGACGAGTATACCAGGGTACTAATTAAATACCTCATTTTTTTGGAAAATATAAAATTTATTGCAACTTTGAGCATATTATAAATTAAATATCTTAAAATCAAATAATACCACACATCAGTGGCGGCAGGTGGATTTTGGGTATACCGATATCTCAATTATTAGATAAGGGACCCACACCAAATTTATATGAGTTTATAATGACATTAAATAAACAAGTTCTGCGCAAGCAGAATTTAAATTGAAGTTTGCGAAAAAAAGATAACCGAAACATAGAACATGGAACTGACGACACGGTACTGATGAATGGGGTACAAATTTGAGATTATAATTCGGAACTAAGTATTTTACTGATATTTTTTATTAGTGGATGCTACTTATCAACAAATCACATATAGCCTTATATAAATTACAATGAAATATATATACGTAAGAAACCACAGTACTGAAATTTTGACTGGAACTATACGTGCATTCACCACAACTTCGCCGCTTGCATTGTTTTCAATATGACTGTCGTGCAAAGGGCGGGCTTTGTAGGTATTTTTTACCAACACTTGAGTTAAAACGAGGACTTGACGTTTAAACTTCAATATTTCGCAGGAATTTTGAATTTTAACATTGGACACAGAACTGATGTTAGTGGGAGTATCAACAAATTTTATCAGTTTTCGATGTAATTTCACCAAGGGACTGATTAATTTTTTCCCGCTTGAAAAACTGGCCATACATTAACAAGGTGCATGTCTTAATTTTTTTTTTTTCAGAACCAGAACTACCCCTTGTTCGTTCCCCATGGTACGCTCGCTCCGCCAATGTACAACCAACCCTCCCCTCAAGTCGCCACCCTCCAATTCAATTCGCTGACTCTGTCGACCTTGAACCATTGAAACAAGCACGTGATGCTGAGGCGAACATCGTAGTTGAACCACATTCTGCGCGTGCGTTTTTGCTACATCGTTCGCATGGTAAGATTTTCTCTAATGGGCCTTATGCGTCTAACATAGTGTTCAATATCTGCACGGCTGTCCCACAAACATAAAACACGAAAATTTTAGTATACCTTGCCTTGTCCAAGGAAAAAACTTTTAAATTCTCCATCGACGGCTGCCACAAATTGCATTTGGTCTCCAATTTTTGTATCACACTGTTTAAAATATCTGTGGTGTGAAGAGTAATCTTAAAATGGTGTCAAAATCCAACACCAAGTGGTGTTAATATAGCACCATGAATTATGGTTGAAAATGTTTTATACAGCAAACACCAAAACGGTGTTTATCTAAAAATATTTGAGAAGTGCACTTACACGGAAAAAAGGAATAGTTCATTTAACTAATTAATATATTAATTTAGTTGACCCATAAGTATTTATTTAAATCAACTGTGGGAAGGTTAATATAAACAAAGATTAGTTTGACGGTACTAAACCAGATAGTTATTTTTTTTTAAATTGGTTAAATTAACCCAGAAAACTTTAGTGAAACCAACCCGCTGTATGGTTCAGTTTACTAAATATGTTGTTTGTAAAATAAGAGTTACTTCAACCTAAAGCACTCTGATTAAAACAATTTGCCGTGCATTCCTTGTTGCATAGTGTGTCATCGCGGCAAAGGCGGTGTGGATCACGTGATGTTCTTAAATCTCGCCTCTGTTGACTTACATAGAGAGTATATAAGCTCAGGTAGTCCTTTGCTTTGGTGTAACACTACAAGTTGTTCGATACTAAAGAGACCTTAAATAGGTGGAAACAGCTGTCAATATTTTTAGTATTTTTTCTGTGTAGTATGATTTAATTTGACCAAAAACAAATTATATTTAACACTAAAAAGGAGTTCAATTTACACCAAAAAAATTTATTTTAATACTGTGTGAAAATTAAATTTACACCATTTTAGGATTTGAATTTACACTGGACCAACGAACCATATTTAACACCATTTTGGTTTGTATCGATATAGACCATGCATGGTGTTAATTTAGTGTTAAAATGGTCATGAAATTTTGAACAGTGCAGTTGGCAAAAGTCATGCCAAAAGCTTTGCATTCTGCAATATCTCGAAGATGCTTGCAAATTCGTCTGGATGAAATTTTAAAGCAAAAATAAATGTCTTAATTTATTTCTTTTGATTTCAGAACTACCCCATGTCCGTTCCCCATGGTACGCTCGATCTGCCCCAACTTCAAGTCGCCACTCTCCAATTCAATTCGCTGACTCTGTCGACCTTGAACCATTGAAACAAGCACGTGATGGTGAAGCAGACATCGTAGTTGATCCACATTCTGCGCGCGCTTTTTTGTTACATCGTTCACATGGTAAGTAATCCATATCTATTTTCTTATGTGGAGGATGTAATGAAAAACGAACGTCAGACCCTATATATGGGTCGTTTTCAAAAAACACCCGCCGTCCGCTGTCCATAAGTTTGAATTCCAATAACTTTGTTAAAAACTATCGGATCTTATTGATTTAAAAACCAAGTGAAAGCCTAACAAGCCCCTAGTAAACTCTTTCAGAAAATGTTTGTTTAGTTATTTCAGAATAATTTTTTTTTAATTTTGAAACTTGTGAAACACACATTTTCGCATGTCCCATTAGCGTTTTATAAAACTTACATACATGTTTTTTTTAAATATTGAATAACCAGAACTTTGTGTTGCTTTATAGCAATACATAACATCCTTAGTTAATAAAGTAAACAATTTATATATAAATTAACTAATTTTAATCTTCTTTTTTTAAATTTGACTCATGTCCCAGACATTTTTTCCGTTGCGTTACGTCCGTCGCGTTACAGATAGAATATTTAAAAAAACATATATATGGCAACTTTTTTGGCACTCAGGTGATCAACAAATAATGTTCGGACGTACACATTACCCAGCTGAATTTATTTATTCAATCAGGAAGAAGATATCGGTTGAGACAGGTGCGGGTAACGCGAATGTAATAATTGTTTGTCCGCTAAGTTAAAAAAAATAATAAAAATAAGGTAAGAAAAAATACTATTTTTCATGTTTATGCTTATTTTAGGGCACTAAAGCTCATTGAGAGTAATTAATGACTGTAATGTTTCATTATTATTTTTTAAATATGGTTTCACAAAACTGCGTTACCGAGTCCATTACGTTACCTTATGGTAACGCAATGGAATTTAGGGTAACGCAATAGAATTTTTTGACAACAAAGTGGATATTTACCGTCGCTTTTATTAAAAGTAGTTTATTATAAACCAATTTAAAATTATTTGTTATTACAACTCATGATATAGATTACATCCAAGGGAAAATTCCAGGCAATATACAAGTACTAAAAGACACCATCTTATAGTCAAAGAAAAAGGTGTCTATAATTTAGAAATCTAAGTTGTTATTCTGCAAGTGAGCACCACTACAAGGGATTTTGTTTATGCATTACTCTAAAATCGTACCACTCCATGAAATTTCTTTTTTACGTTATCTGATTAAGTCCCTTGTGTACCCCAGTCCGTTGTGATACCAATGTCTATTTCGTTACTTTATTAGTTTTTGTTAACAAAAAATCCCTAAAATGATTTTACTATCACTTGGTAGTACGTGTTTATAAATTAGAGTTTAACTCACTAATACAGTGACTAAAAGAAAATATTAATGGTATTGTTTTTTTAACAAAGAATCGGAATGGTGTCTTTTAAAAAGTATCAAAAAATTTAAACACTTTTCAAAGTAATTTCACCAAGGGACTGATTATTTTTTTCCCGCTTGAAAAACTGGCCATACATTAACAAGGTGCATGTCTTAATTTATTTCTTTTGATTTCAGAACTACCCCATCTCCGTTCCCCATGGTACGCTAGATCTGCCCCAACTTCAAGTCGCCACTCTCCAATTCAATTCGCTGACTCCGTCGACCTTGAACCATTGAAACAATCACGTGATGGTGAAGCAGACATCGTAGTTGATCCACATTCTGCGCGCGCTTTTTTGTTGCACCGTTCGAATGGTAAGTAATCTACAAATTAATGTGGGTAACACCTCAAAGTCCCACCACGTGACCACGTACGGAACGCAGTCTTTTGAAAATTTGGCATTTAAGGCTTTTCAGGTTATGTATCTGTCAAAGTATAGTCAACGAAAGAAATAATATTTACAGTATTACCGCTTATGTTTAAGCTTTAGTTAATAAATCTTTATAGTATCACAATAACAATGGTTGGTTTAAGAATTTAGGAATATAAATACTGCATTTAATGAAATTCCAAAGTGTAAGGTGCAATATAAGCGATATTTTTGCGCATTGGGTCTACATTTCTCCATAAAATAGTTTTAACTAAACAGCATTTATTAAAAAAAATCTAACTTCTCTATTATGAAATAAGAATATATGTATCAAAGGTAGGTTAATGTATTAGAACAAAATATATCATCTAATTTTGTATTTTAAGGTTAGAAAAATCTATTTTGACCCAAAATCGTTGACTATACTTTGACAGATACATAACCTGAAAAGCCTTAAATGCCAAATTTTCAAAAGACTGCGTTCCGTACGTGGTCACGTGGTGGGACTTTGAGGTGTGGAGCATAGTACATTACCGTTATATGCGAAAAATAAGATAATTGTTTTGTTAGCTTCAATTTTGACAGTTTGATGTTAGTGGGAGTATCAACAAATTTTATCAGTTTTCGATGTAATTTCAAGGGACTGATGAATTTCTTATCGCTTGAAAAACTGGCTGTACATTAGCAAGGTGCACGTCTTAATTTATTTATTTTTATTTCAGAACTACCCCATTACCGTTCCCCATGGTACGCTAGATCCGCCGATATACAACCTTCAAGTCGACACCCTCCAATTCAATTCGCTGACTCTGTCGACCTTGAACCATTGAAACAAGCACGTGATGGTGAAGCAGACATCGTAGTTGATCCACATTCTGCGCGTGCTTTTTTGTTACATCGTTCACATGGTAAGTAATCGATAAAAAATATTGCTCTAAATTAATGTGGGGAAGCCCCATAAGAAACAATCGATTGGGGTGAGATACGAAGATATGTACTATCGCTAACAAAAAAAACTCATACAGATATATTGTCCCTGATAGCAAAATTTGATTTTAAGAATCTTCTAAGAAGATATGACCCGGAATAATGGAATATTCTTAGAACCTTCCCTTATTGCTAAGAATGTTCTTAGGGGCTTTTAAAACATTCAATAGATACCCTTTTAATGATGCAATTAGATTCTTAAAAGCTTCTTAAAACCTTCCTAAAAAGCATCCTAAGAACATTTTAAGAATACGTTTTTGGAATGTTCTTAGAAGGTTTCTTATGGAGCTTCTAGGAAGCTTTTGAGAATATTTCCAAATATATCAGATACCCACGTTCTAATATGTTGTATTCTACATTCGTAAAATTATTCAGGAGACGACAAATACGCCTCACTGTCATAATATGACAGTGAAATATATTTGTCGTCCCCTTAAAAAAATTTGCGACATATTAATATATATTTATTTAAAAATATTAAATAACCAATTTGACCACTAAACCATAAGTTTTATGACATTATTTCATAAAAAGTAAAATTGGAAAATTTTGTGGGATAAGTCAGATTAGATTGAAGTTGAAGATAGTTAGGATTATTATACATAAAAATGTTAATTCAGAAATACAAAATCGGTATACAAATTAATAAATATTTATTTTTAACATAAAATAAAATACCTATACCTAGTAAAAGTATTTTTGTTATCGAATATTGTTTTAATTTGACAAATAACTATAAAAAAATATTTTGGATTGTTTTTTACTTAGTATTTAATACTAATTACTAATTAGGTGCTGAAGTATAGGTATATACCTTTATACGTAGTTTATGGTATATTTTACTATTATATAGGTAACTGAACTAAATATGCTTAACAGGAATATTCCTAAATGAACTTTCTATAGCAATAACTTTCTTAACCTTATGTTTAGAGTAGACTAATTTTTACCACTAAAACTTTGCACCTTCTAAGAACCTGCCTATAGGCCAGTAAGAATATTCTTAGGATCATGCTATATGTCTTTTAAGCATGTTCTTTAGAAGAAATATAGCATGATCCTAAGAATATTCTCACTTGAAGGTTTAAAAGACATTCTTAGAATAAAGTGTGCTATCAAGGTTGGGATGTTAATATATTTTTTTTATTATTTTAGGATCCTTCCAAGTCCGTAACCCATGGTACCGTCGCCATTACCAATCATACCGATCCGAACCAACTGAATTGCGTATACAGCTGCGTGACGCTCAACCAGCTGATTCTGAAGATGCCTCTTCACGCCTTGATGCTTCAGGATTCTTCGATCAACCAGATAATTTTGCTGCCGCTTTTATTGATGAAGAAGGGGATCAGCAGTTTGATTCTGAACCAGCTGAACAGCACACTGATTCCGGAGTCTTTGACTTTGCAGAACAACGGTACGATTCTGAAACTCTAACTAATCGCCAAAATCAACCTGCTGATTAACCAGGAGATTCTACAATCCAAAATATGCTATAGTAGGTTATAATAATTAATATTATATAATATATTGTAATAAACCTACATCATAAGTGGATTTCAAACAATAAATGCTACTAAAATATTTCGTTATTTTTCTTCAAAGGTTTCTATTTATAATTCAAAAAATATTATAAATATTTTATGGGTCATTATATTTTATATTATTATTATTTTGATATCAAAATAAACAATTATTTTTTTTGTATAAAAGGACAATAACGACAAACTAAATGCATTCAATCGGGTTGATTGAACGATCATCATGAAGATATTAGTAGTTCTACTACTAGCTGTTGTATTGGGTTGCCATGCTGAAAATCAAACTTAATACATTATTTATTAAAAAATGTCTAAGCAGGGTTTATAGACCTTTATTAAAAAAAGTTAATAGGGGTCAAATCAGAACTTCTCGGCGGCCACAATCAACTAAGGTCTATGTAAACAACTCAACTCATTATTTTTAGGACTTTGGATTCTTTAGAATATCGAATGGCACATGTTGTGTTAGGTGAGTTGCCTACATTAAGGTTTGGGCTAAGTTTTAATCCAACCTTAGAATTTCAAAAACATATACTTCAATGAAGGAATTTTTTTATTACACAGTAATAAAAAAATATTATATTTTTTTGTCATTACTTTTTTATTGGTAATAATTTTTTTTATCAAAATAAGCTATACGTGATTCACGCATTTAAACAATTAAATTTTATAATTTTTTTACAATGAAAAGGTATACAGTGTGTCTCCACTAAATACTGTAAAGTGTCAAAGATTCGACATTATTAGTTTTAATCCTGAATTATAGATTGCCTTCCTTCCTTCCTCCCGTAGAAGATGAACAATACGAAACCCAATAAACATTTTTGACGTAATTGTCACCATTAACATTTCTCGTGTAAGAATTTTTAATAATTTGTGATAATATTTTGCAATTATAGTAATAAAAAAATCAAAGGATAAAATATTTTTTTAACAAAATCATATTTTGAAGTTATTTTACTATTTTAAAGTATCAATAATTGTTAATTATAATTAAAATTAATAACGGGCAATGTTAATGGTGACAATTACGTCAAAAATGTTTATTTAAAACGTAGTGCCATTTATAGATTCCCGTACCGTAAGGAGGGCATTCCTTCCTCCCGTAGAAATTTTTAAGTTTTATCTTTCACCGTAAAGGTCTTTGACATGACCAATCACAGTGCTTGTTATGGACATGCGCTGTAGGGTGTCAGCGCGTAGGCACAAAATATTTAAAATACATGATTGTTTAGTATTATTTAAGATAGGTGTTCAGTTTATTAAATAATTTGTGTCTCTAAATAGGTTATTTAGATATTGTTTATGATCAATGTCTTTTATTTTTAGAAACGTTGCTTTGTAAAACCCCGTAGTTTCCCGGTCTTGGTAAAGTGGGCGAGTCTTCCAACGTCTTGTTCGATGTTTTTTTCATTATTATAATACAACATAATAATACAACAACCTGCCTGGGCAATTAAAATTGTGATCACTGCACTAATACATAAATGTTTATCTTTCATATTTACACACAATGGGTAAAACGCAGAATATAAACAAAAACAAATGTCAACCATTTTAGGTGTCATCGCGCATGGTTACGGAATTTTACACGGAAATCTATAAATTAACTTTTTACAAGACGCACAAATCGTACGGGCACGACTACGGGAGGAAGGAAGGAAGGCAATCCATAATTCAGGCTTAAAACGTGAAATCAATCAAAATGCCAACCCTCGAAATATTCATTGTGCAATGCTATAGGTTGGGGAAAATTAGCTTAAAAAGGGTGGTTAGACAGTTCGTACAATAGTTGCCGGGGGTTCAATAAGCAACGTTGCCGTTAAAACTAATGTTTCAAACAAATTAGAAGAATTACAACGAATTTAGAAGAACGTTGTAATTACGTAGTAATTTAGGTGCGAACACACTGTATAAATAATTGTTTAGTTACCTACTAGTAAAACTTAACAACCTTTGTATAAAAGGAAAGCAACGAAAAACTAAAGGTAACTATTTCAATTAGTTTAGTTGAACAATGAACATTAAGATTTTTGTTGCTGTACTATCTGTTGCCTTGTGTTGTCAAGCAGGTAAGTAAACTTAATTAATATATTTGTATATTTAAAAATGTCAGGATGGTTTGTAAACCTTAATTTAAGAAATAATAATAATAGTAGTGAAATCTGACACTATTTAACACCCCAAGAACGCCCCACAGTGCTATGAAGCCACAGTGGACAATGAAGTGAAATTGTTTGTCTTGTTTAATGTTAGAACTTACTCTTAATACAAATTTGTAAAAAATGCATTACATCATCCACTTAAGAAGATTGTATTTCGTACAATGTATAACTAATTTTTAATAATTTATTTTAGCTCCCAACCCTAATGCAAATGGTAAGTTTATCTTCTTTTATGCTAGTAATCTCATTTAGAGGACCCTTATCATTCATAAGGCATTTTTTTAAGATTTTTTGTTTTCTATGCTCTACAAAAACATTACCTGTTATCTTCCTCTTCCTTAATTCCTTAAACGGCCTCTTTCATTTTACCTCTTTCTTGTCCACCTTAATTTAGGTTATGAGGAAGTCTTTTTATACAAAACTTTCACCCCATCAGACCACATTACCGCCTTGTAAAGCTCTTAAGCAGACTTAACTACCTATTTAAAATAACCAGCTCATAACTCAGATCATAACTCACACTATTTTTATGAGGGTCTAGCTAAACGCCCGAAGGATAGGCAACCCATTATGACGAACAATTTTTGACTTTAATTTTAAGTTATTTATTTGTTGTTTTGAATTGTTAAAACTGTTACTGCACCACTAAATTGGATAACTAAGCACATGGGGTAGAAACTCCATTATTTCTCCAGTACTATGCTCCACACCTCAAAGTCCCACCACGTGACCAGGTACGGAACGCAGTCTTTTTAAAATTTGGCATTTAAGGCTTTTCAGGTTATGTATCTGTCAAAGTATAGTCAACGAAAGAAATAATATTATGTTTAGGCGTGAAAAATGTATAAATCTTTATAACATTAGAATAACAATGGATGGTTTAAGAATTTTAGAATATAAATACTGCATTTAATGAAATTCTAAAGTGTATGGTGCCAAATAAGTATTATTTTTGTGCATTTGGTCCAAATATCTGGTTTTCTCAATAAAATAATTTTAACTAAACAGAATTTATTTTAAAAAATCTAGCTTCTCTATTATGGAATAAGAATATCTGTATTAAAGGTAGGTTAATATATTATAACAAAAATATCATCTAATTTTGTAATTTTAAGGTTAGGAAAATTTATTTTGACCAAAATAAATAAATATTTTGGATTATTTAAAAGACTGTATAATATGGTATTTAAAAATGTGGTAGTTTTTCTTATCCAGCTTAAAGTGTACCTACATAAAGTTTTGTCAATACAAATAGTTAAAAAGCTTCAACTGAATTTGATCTACATCAAAAAATCATTATAACTTTAAAAAATTTTATAAATCACATGTCATGGGAGTATTAAATATTTTCACATTGCAAGTTTCTCTAAAAATTGTTTGTTTTCTTATAATCTATCTTAAAGTAAGTATGCCGAGAGGTATGCACAAGTTTTCTCGTTAGAAGTATAAAAGCTTCAATTTAATTTGAACTATATTCAACAATTATTTAGTATACCTATATTTATTTATGACCATATTAACACACTCAAATAATCCACTTATTTATTTTGGTCAAATAGATTTTTCTAACCTTAAAATGATATTTTTTGTTCTAATACATTAACCTACCTTTGATACAGATATTCTTATTTCATAATAGAGAAGTTAGATTTTTTTAATAAATGCTGTTTAGTTAAAACTATTTTATGGAGAAATGTAGACCCAATGCACAAAAATATAACTTATATTGCACCGTACACTTTGGAATTTCTTTAAATGCAGTATTTATATTCCTAAATTCTTAAACCAACCATTGTTATTGTGATACTATAAAGATTTGTTAACTTTTAACGCTTAAACATAAGCGGTAACACTATAAATATTATTTCTTTCATTGACTATACTTTGACAGATTCATAACCTGAAAAGCCTTAAATGCCAAATTTTCAAAAGACTGCGTTCCGTACGTGGTCACGTGGTGGGACTTTGAGGTGTGGAGCATAGTACATTGTTAAAGTCATAATTGGTTGCCTATCCTTCAGGGTTCAGCTAGACCCTCGTAAAAATAAGATCTAGGTTATGATCCCATACATTTTATTATTTTTAGGAAACTCTCGTCATGCCCGATGCCCGTATTCGGATAATCAACACTACGAACCATTAGATTCTGCCGCTGTTGATGCCAGGAGACAACCTGCTGATTCTAAAGGCCCAGTTGGCTATTTGAACAGACTTTCTCAAAATCAGAACCCTGATGCAGATTCTTTAAGACATGTCTTCCCAATTCAGCATGCTAACTCTGCAGGTATTGGTCAATTTCAAGATTCTCAACCGCACGATGCTGAAGAACCACAACAACATGCCTTAGGCCATAGAGATCAACACTGTGATTCTTAATAGGTACACTGATTCAGGACAAACTGATTCTCAAAGTCAGTATATGCAATTGTAATATGTTTGGGTTATAATATAATTATTACTCCTATTAATTTTTAGTTAAACAATTTGCTTAAATTTCTAAAATCTCTGAGCATATTAAAATAAAATACGTAAAATTCACTTGCGTTAATGTTTTATTTTATTTCCAAACCACTTTAAAAAATTAAAGGAAAACGCTAACGGTTTATTCGAATTTGAAGTCATTGTAAAATTCGTTGGACCATCGGAACCAGACGCTCCCATATCGGTACAGCTGCTGATAGTGCTGGAAGACGCCGACGCATTAGAACCTTGTATTTTTTCCGCAATTTGTATTTTGTTATGCAACGATTCTTCTAGGTATCCTTTTGCTACCGTCGAGGACTTCCATCCTCCGTGACGCTTCAAAGTAGTCATGTTAGCCCCTGCATTGGCCAAGAGTCGCCGAAGACCTTCTCAAGCATTGACCGGTGTAGAGCGCT